AGCATGATTCCTTTGATTTTCCAAGTACATCTAATATTTTATACCAGCAGCTAGTAGGCACTCTTGTGATTGACATTTTCCAATAATCCCATCAGAGAAAAAGGTCCTCTAAGGTAAAAGACTAAAGAGTCAGATTAATTGTTTATTATCCATTAACTGTCTTATCAAATAAGAGAATCTATGGAAAAGGCTTTGGGAGTCTGAAAGCACTATAAATCACTTATCACCATTATCATCATCATTCCCCCTTACCACCTACCTGGCACAGGCCCTCAAATCCTCAGCTGGCATAAACTTGGGGAATAGAAGTAATATCCTATTAGCCTAAGTAAAATATAACCAGGTAGGTAAATCTTTTGCCCTTCCCCCATCACATAATGCAACCCACAGCTTAAGTGACTTCTCTGAGATTTTTAATGGAATCTATTCATGTTTCTTTTTAAAATATTTTTATAGTTGCATTTCAACATAACTGGTTTCCTTTTTGATTCTATGTGTTTTATGCATTAAATGGATTTCACCAGACTGCCAGAATGAACCATGATACCAAAAAATATTAAGAACATCTAATCTAGAACATTCTATTACCTGTGCTACTGCTTCGAAAATCCTGGATAACTGAAGATGGTATCCCCCTCTATTCTACCTATCCTTCAATCATTGGTGTGTGATGATGATATCCAATTAACAAGGGGGGGGTGGGGGAAGCATCCCAGAAAATTGTAATATTCACAACAGTTGCCCTCCATCCAACCCAGCAATTCACATCATAAGAGAGAGGTAGCTAAGTGACTCAAGTGAGTAGAGTACTGGGTCTGGAGGCAGGAAGATCTGAATTCAAATTCAGCTTCAGAAACTACCTGTGGGATCCTGGGCAAGTCACTTAGCCTATCTGCCTCAGTTTCCTCAACCGTAAAATGAGAATAACAACAGTACCTACCTTTGCAGAGCTATTGTGAGCACCAAATGAGAATATTTGTTAAAAAAAAAACTTTGCACCATGACATATTAGGCACTATATAAAACTTATTTTCTGCCCCCTTCCTATCAAGACTTCTTGTAGAAGTCCAAACCCCATGTTGACTCTTGCCATCTAACTTTCACATTCACCAGTCACATGTGAGAGTCTGTCTTCAGCAACCTTCACTGGCAAAGTAAGGCTTGCATGTGCCAATCATTAACTCTCAGGGAGGGCTTAGATATTTCAAGGAAGCAATGCCATTGGTTCAATAGACTGCTGAGAATTGGCTGAGAACCAACCCAGCCCAGCATGGCACTAAAATATACTTTCATAAGGAATGAGGCATCTGCTTTGGCATCTTGGTCAAATTCCAAAGACATCAATTACCTTCTGCCTACTTAGAGATCCCCCAGTAGCTCTAATTAGGGATATTTACTTTCTATCCAAAAATTCATGTCCAGCCCTGAACAAGACATTAAAACAATCAAGAGTCCTTCATAAATGATGGAAGTGGCATCCTGTGCAAAGCAGCAGCAACCTCCAGGGGGTGAGAGGTGGACTTTGTTGGATCTGCAGAGTCCTTTATAAATCTTACATCGAAGAAGCTATGTTAATGTTAACTTGAAGAGGTCAGATTCCTACCTTTCTGCACTGCTTCAGGCAAATAATACATTTGCAGCATACTCAGTGACTTTAAAGGAATTTTAACATGCAGAGATCAGTGAGATGGAGAGAAGTGGGAACCTGGCCCACTCTTAACTGCTTCCTACCACAATATGGACAACTTGGAGAACACAAAGGCAATTCCTTTCTAATTCAAAATATACCTAAATCTTAAAATATGTCTGAGTTGATGTCTGAGTACATCAGCTTTGGTAGACACATGCATGAGGAATTGTGAATGGAAAAAGATCCAGGTTGCAGAAGTCAACCAAGCTAAGTAGCAGCTGGGAAGTAGCAGGGAATATGTGTGTATGTACGTATGCTCATTCATACATACATACACGCACACACATTCATATTTTAATACCAGAAATCTTACTACCCAGGGCAGAGAGCAATTTATTTCATGATAAGCTACATGTTATGGTAGAGAGTCAAAAGCCCCAAGTGATGCTGGCAGGCCAATTAAAGGCCACAACATTCTGCCCCAGACACACAAATGCTGTGCTTCTGCTCTGAATGTGTTATTCTGAAATACTCCTAAACGGCTGAATTCTTTAACTGATCTAACAGAACTCATCCCAAAAAACTAACAAGTTTACAGTGAAAATAAATTTGCAAAGTTGATTCTCCAGGTCTACTAACTGATGCTAGAAGGGCATAAATGTGTGCAGATCCCCTGTATAAAAATGAAAACGAAATCACTGGTGAGAAAATCTCTAATAATTTATTGACCTTCAATTTCACATTGTGAAAAGAAAAATGCAATTTTACAAAACCTCAGAATGAAGTGGCAAACAGGCAGACACAACGTGAACATTTTACTTCGACTTATCCAGGTTTTTGTACAAGAACCACATATTTAATAGTCAAGGAAGGGATATTATTCAGCTCTAATCACTATTATTCAGACAGGTGTCAGACCCAGAGAAAAGGGCCTGCACAATTATACCAGAAGTGGAAGGCTGCCCTTTGTTATCTGTTTCTACAGCAACCAGTTCACAAAATAATAAAAAGAACGTTCTCCGTCTTATGCCAAGGTTTTTGTGTGCACTGTGCTGTGAATTGCATTTGCTTCAAAGTGTGGGATGTTTCAAAGGGCTGGAATGGTCAAGTAGCAAGCCAGAATTCCCACATTAATTCAAAGAGCGGGAGCTGAGAACGGTTCCCCCCACAGGGCCAGAGGCCCACCCTCACTGTGGCTTCCTTCAGCCTCCACAGAGTAATTAATAGAGGATCCAAGGACAGACCACAACTTTGAAACAGCTGCAGCAAATTCATCCTGCTTTCTGAAGCTGTGCAGTGACACAAGACCCATCAGCCAGCTTTGCATCATAAGCTACATGGCTATCAATGCTGCCATGTAAAAATGGTGAGTGTTCAGCAAGTCATGAGGCTGAGCTGGGGAGGGAGGTGAAGAAAGGGACATTTACATTGCTAAGGAGACAGCTAAGAAAGGGTGAATGAATGCTGGAAATGACTCATTTTTTTATTCCAATAGATCAATATTTTGGTCCAAATAGAATGTATTTTAAACATGAATGTAGAGTATTATTTCTCATCCAACCACTATGAGGTTTTCAGGAGGGGAAAAAAACCAGTAAGCATCTCACCAGCACTGGACAATGCAAACACACTCACTAAAACTCACACTGCAAATGTTGTAATTAAGAATCCACTTTCTTAAATAACTGAAATGTGAGAAAGAATAAGGGTAGCCACTAATTCAAGTTTTTGGTCTCTTCAGAGACCTCTGGACAATCATGGGGTTAGTATGGCTTAACAGCACCAAAAACCACCACAGGGCATGTTTCAGTAAGCAAGCATTTCAAACTATCCAAGAACGTATTAGAAACTGACTTAAAAACAGAACCCAAACTACTTCAAATTCTTTAGTGTCTGTGGGTTAGATAGGACACTTTTGTACACCAAAGGAATTTTTTCAGAGTCTCTGTGTGTGAGAACAAAATTCCATAACACATAAAGTTAAAGACGACTCTTGGAACTCCGAATGTAGAGGAAACCCCACTTTCAGCAGGGGGGAAGCAGTCACTTCCAAATTTGGCTGGTAAATGAATTATTGCAAATCTTTTTTTTAAGTCTTTAAGACTTCGGTCCTTCCAGTCAACGTAGCTATGGCAAAACATTCCAACAGGGTAACAAACAAATAAATAAATAAATACACTTTGGACAATGCCTTTACCTGTCTATGCTCTGTAACACAAGAACTACTACATATTATTTTCTAGGTGATCAGAAGACTATGGAAAGAGAAAGCTGTAAAAATCACTGGACTTTTTCCAGATTACAGTGGTAGAGACCTAATCAGATTAATGAAATAATGAAATATAGGAATCACACTTCTTTAAAAAAAAAAAAAAAAAAAGACATACACATACATGCAAAGACAGAATACCACTGAATGACAGTCCGAGAAAGTGACTGCCAGGATTTCTTTTTAAAGTACATCGAACTATTTCTGCTGGGTTAAAAAACAAACAAAGAAACAAACAAACCACTATCCCCTGCCCATCCCACCCTTCAGATAAATCCCAAATTGTTACTCAAAAGTTTTCCTTTTTGTGCAGCAAAGCACAGCCAAAACCACAAATGTGCAAAACATACAGCCGTCCATACAAATCCTTACACGTGAAGACAACCACAGGCATTGTTTCAGCATGCAGGCACTGAACAATAAATAGCTAAATCTACAACAAATAACAACAGTGACAGGAAGGTTCTTAAAGTCACTTATAAATAGAAAAAGAAAGTTCACAAACCACTGGGGGAAGATTTCTCAATTTTCCCACCGCTCAAAAAACCTTCTCTGTGAATTCCCTCCCTTCCCCCTACATCCTTCCCTATCCCCCATTCCCCCCCACCCACCCACCCCCACCCCTCTCGCCTGCAGACAGGGCAGCACGACACAATATTCTACGTAATTGATGCTCCCAGCTCTACCTATTATCATCAGCACACAGAGTCCTGGTGGAGTTCTCTAGCCAGCTTTACATAGCTAGCATCCTTTTTCCCTTTGAATGCTAGGACGCTGTTCGAAATCCAGCCAGCCTCCACCACAGCTGGTGCTGAGTCTTCAGACTGGCTCCTCCGAGAGAGGTGACAACCATTTCAAATTTGACACATAAATGGTGGAGTCCATGGAAATCAGGAGCTGAACATGGCACAGCTAGGGAAAAGACCAGGCTTTCTTCTCCCTCTGAAGGGCTGATTAACGCTGACATTAATCCACAATTACGAGACAAGGACTAGATCACAGGTTCATTCATTCCTATTTAAACCATGTGCTACTTGCACTGAGAATCTTTACCTCCCCCCCCCCCCCCCCCCCCCCCCTCCTCCCCCCCCTAACTCAATTACAAGGTGCAGTGTAATTTATTCGAGTCCAGAACAACTTTTTTTCTTCTTCATTAAATTCGGCTTCTCCAAAGTCAAGGTCCCACAGTTGTTTCACCAAGCAATGGAATAAACTACAGAAGGGGGGAAAAAGGGGGGGGCACATAAAAAAGACATGGTTAAAACCATACAACAGAAAGTCTGCATTAGGAATCTCAAAATAAAAGGGAGCCCTATTTTGAGTTGGCTGACACTACTTCTGTGCTCTTCTACAACAATTAAATTGTAAGTAGACAGAATAAATGTATTAAAACTGGAACAAAACACTGTGCTATCAAATACTGTTTCAATGTCTAGCATGTGACTGTCACTAAAACAGGGGAACAAAATCCTTGGTCCTGGTCTCCTTTACTCATTTCCTAAAAATGGCACAAAATCCTCAAGTCTGGGTTTTGCCTTTTTAATTATGATTAAAGTTATATTCATTTCTAAGGTTTTATCTTCCTCTGACATAAAATTGTAATGAACAATCCACCTTCATAGTCAAATAGATTCAATGAAGCCTGGCAGTGGGAAGAGGTCAGAAGGAGGAGGGAGGTTTCCTCTACTAGGGACCCCTGGGCCACTCACCACAGAGAATTCCATATTAAAGTTATTCACCATATAGAAAAGCAGATATATTAATCCCCTTAGTTAAAGTATCTCTGTTATTCATCATGGCAGTATTCTGTCTCTTTTCTCTTCACATGAAAATGGACACTGCCTCCACAACCCAAGGCTGGATGGAGTTTGTTCTCCAAGTCAATTATTCAGTTTTTAGAAGAAGACAGCTCTGGGATGTCAACATTCTGATCTACACAGCCATAATAGGAAGTATCCAGGACCCAGCGTAAAGGAAAAGTATGACCATGGAGCCTTTTCATTTTCCCATAAGTCACCAGCCCTTTCGAGGCATGGGGATCATGAGCCCGTGCTAACTCCTAGCTAACTCTGATTCCTCCAGGCATAAGGACAGTTTTTGACTTTCAGCTGCCAGTCTTGTAGCTTGGTTATTAATATGTATGGTGGTTTCTGCCTGTTAAATAATTTGTCCTTTTTTTCTGTTTATGTGTATTGGGTAGAAAGAAGAAGGGTCCATGGGAAGCTCGTATTCCAAATGCTTTAAAAAAAAAAAAAAAGGACAGAGTAAACTCAGAATTGTCCTTCTATACTTCCTCTGAATCCTGGCTTTTGTGGGTTTCAAAGTCTAGCTTGTTTCCTCAGGGTTGGGTGGCTTGGGCTGGGGGGAGTGGCGGGGGTGGCTGTTTCATAATAGGTGACAAACACTCAAGACATTCTTGAGGATACTTTGTCATCCCCCCTGCCTCCTTGTAATGTATATATATCAACACTAAGCCAAAAGAATGTTTCTTATACTAGTATGAAGTTTCAAAAAGTTGTATACTCAAGAAGGGGGAAAAAAAAACAACACTAAAAATCCCAAGTTGGAGAGGAGAACTAAGGCCAACCAAAATCTTTCTGAGAGCTGCTGTCAGACTGGGGCCACATAGCATCATGAAAACAGAGGCTAATCACAAGTAATTTCCTTCTTGTCCCTCCCACCCACTGACAGAACAGCAGGAGACAGCAGAAATCCCCTTGGCGGATGAGCTCGTAGACCTAGGAAAACTTCTTGTTAACACTATATTAATTCGGCTATCTTACACATTTGGAAAGCTCAAATAATGGTCTCTGAGAGATTTCTGCAATTAACGGAAAATATTTAAGGCTGAGGTAGACCACACAGAGATACTTTTAAATAACACTTCATTGAGCTTGAATGTTCTAACACTATCTTATGTGCTATAAACTTTTAGAAGGCTCAATCAACATTTTTCCTGGCAGAATTTTGAAAAGGCTCACTTTGATCATAACCTACAATGGGCTCTAGTTCCAGGGAGCCTGGCTGAAGTACCAAAAGCCTTGTCACACCCTGGATGTCAGATGTATGCTTGGGTCTCCTATCGGTAGCTGCCTCACACCTCACCTAATACCTTATTTGCCCTACTTTTTAAAGCATCAGGAAATGCAAGGATTAGTTTCAAACATCCATCATCCGTCAGGTCAGCTCAAATATTAGCTAATGGTTTAGTCAAGGTAAAACAGGGGTCAATTAAGTACTACATACTTCTTTAAAAGCAAGGTCTCAGACTTGTTGATGGTCAATTTCAGGGGAACTCCAAATTTCAACAAAGTCACAAAATCAATGTCGGAACTGAGAAGTTCAGAAGAGTTCAACTAATCTAGAATCATAGTATCACAGATCTATAGCTGGAAGAGGCCCTGAAGGTCATCAAATCCACCTCCCTCATTTAACAGATGAGGAAACTGAGGCCTAGAGAGGCTAAGGGGCTTACCCAAAGTCATTCAAGTGCCAACACCCTTTCCACTATACCACACTGGTTTCTTTCCTTCCTTTCACTCTAACTGATGGAGAAACTTAGACCCGGGAAGTTAAATGATAGCTAGTCAGTGGCAGATCTGGCCCTAGAACCCAGGCCTCCTGAATCCTAATCTCTGGTCCTTTATTATCTTCTTCAAGATAATAAAGTCTAAAAAAAAAATAAAATAATGAAGTTTATCTGTTATACTATTTGCTCCAAGTGGCAAGTGGTAGCTCATTTTAGTCTACTGCCTGCCAATAAGAGTATAACCCCAATGGGCAAATCACTTCAAGGCTGTTTGCCTCAGTTTCCTCATCTGTAAAATGGGGATAATAATAGCACTTACCTTACAGAGTTGTTGAGCGGATCAATTGGGATAATATTTGTAAAAGCACTTGGCACACAGTAGGTATTATACAAATGTCAGCTATTTGTTTAGCTATTTTCAAATTCCTTTCAGTCCCATACAGTCCATGGGTTTAAGATTCTAAATCAATGTAAGAGACCATGAGCTATATATAGTGAAAGGAATCTGCTGGGACCTATTGATCCCCATGCAGATAGCATGCTCTGCACTAACACACAATTTGGTACTTTGCTAATTGATGCTTTTGCCCAAGCTTTCTTTTATAACTCATTCTATAGTTGAATCATGCATTCACATCTCCAATGAAATTACCACTTTCAGAGCATTTGTTTATTCAGGATTACTGAGATGCCATCAAAGCTGCAAAAACCAGTCTGGTTTGTAACTCTGTTCCCCTTGCCTCTCCACAGAGAAAAAAAGTTCCTGGTTGTTCCCTCTTGCCCTGGAGGAGGTTTGATTTAGGCGTACAGAAAAACTACTGCTTTGTAAACCATCATGAACTTGTTTCAAGAGATGACAGTTTTAGAAAGGAGGTAAGCTGGAGGCCACATGTAGAATGGTATATATTCCAGTGTGCTGGAGATGGAAAAACAAAAACAAAAGCAAAAAAACTCGATCCTTGAGCTTGATCGGGGAAGGACCTTTCTGCTTAGTTCCCTCCACTGCACACATTAATTTTTCCTTTGAAGTCTCCTCCACGTGTTCTTGGGGTGAGACAGGCTAGGAAAACAGAGCCAAAAACCTCTAGCAAGTGACCAGGTCTTCATCATGGATCCTCCAGAGGAGAAAGCCCTCTTTCTCCCCCTTCTTAGTACTAAGGCCATGAATCACCAAAACAAGTTAACACATTCTGGGCTCCGTGCTACAGCTGTTACACACGCTTTAATGATTCCTGAGGCAAAATGTGAGTATGCTTCCCAGCAAACTGTAGAACTGTTACCAAGTGGAGTTTGCTGGGTTTGGAGCCCTGAACTATAGGCCTTTGAATTATCTGAGCCAAGAAGCATTGTATCCTCTTAAGTACACAAGACAACATGATATGCTCAGAAAGATGACAGAGGAGGAACTCAACTTTTGTTAGCCTGGACAATAGAGTCAGTGTGATTAATTCTGAAAAGCAGTAGTGACTTTAGGTGGCCAAAATAGGCTAAATGTATCAGTGTACATTATAGAGACTGATACAATCCAGGTGTGACCTTGAAAGAGGGCCATCCCTTGCTCATGAATGGCTCCAGAGTATTCACTCTAAGATAACATTGATGCCAGATTTGGGGTTTAACAAAATGTTTTAGAGGTTGATGAGGCTGCACCAATGCTCTTCCCAAATGTCTGCAAGCAATAGCTTAGCCCTGCTATAGTCAACAGCTTAGTGCAGCACAAAGGGTTCTAGGAGTCCTTGAGGCCCCAAGTTTGAATCTTGCCTTAGCTACGTGGCCTATCCATGCGACTCTGAGCAAGCTACTTAAGTCCTCCGGGCCTCAGTTTCCTCACCTATATAAATGAGCAGAGGTTTGAATAGTTGAATTCTAAAGTTCCTTATAGGCAGCTAGATGGTGTAATGGATAGAGTGATGGGCCTGGAGTCAGGAAGACCTGAGTTCAAATCTAATCTCAGATAGGCACTAGCTATGTGACCTTTTTTTGCCTCAGTTTGTTCAACTGGAAAATGTGGCTAACACTAACATCTACCTCCCAAGGTTGTTGTGAAGATCAAGTGAGATATTTGTAAAGTGCTTAGCACAGTGTCTGCACATATTAGACACTTAACATATGCTTGTTTTCTTCCTTTCTTCACTCCTTCCAGAGTTACATATAATATCTTATCTATGTCAGGATTTGGGGATATAAGAACCTTTTAAAAACATTGGGGGGGGGGGGCTAGGCAATGGAGTTAAGTGACATGCCCAGGGTCACACTTCTAGTGAGTGTTATGTGCCTGAGGCCATATTTGAATTCAGGTCCTCCTGAATCCAAGGGCAGTGCTCTATCCACTGCGCCACCTAGCTACCCCCTAAAAAAACTTTCTGAAGAGCACCTTGGCATACTAGGGGACTTTAGTTAGTTAAATTTTTAAAAAGAGCTCCTCTGTTCTTCATTTTAAACTTCATAAAACTAGGGGTAATCCTATGCACACTTGCATCTGGTCAAAAAAACTGCTTACCTGATAATCATCTTCAAATAATGCATCAGCCTTAAGAGGGAAGATGTTTCCAAGTACTGACGAATGCTGTAGGAATGAGAGAGTAGGGGACTGTGGTGATGCTGTTCCACACATCTAATGTCGGATCATAGCAGTCCAAGGTTTTGCATCTTTGAATACCGAAGTAGCCGCCAACTACATAAAGTTTGTTTCCAGATGCTACTGCATGGCAGCTCATACGCTTGGCTGTCACATCTCCCACCTTGGTCCACTGGTATGTCTCACTGTTGAATTTATAAGCTGAGCATGCTGAGAATTCGGTATCTCCACCCATAATAAAAATCTGGTTGCCCAGAACAGCTGCTGCGGTGTATCGCCAGGGTTGCGGGCAAGTGGCTGGTACTGTCCACCTGTTCTCACACTGATCATAACACTGAACTTTAGGTAGCTTATCATGGCTAACACTGGTGCCGCCAAAAGCAAATAACTTCAGTTTGGCACTCACTACCGCTGCATTGCTCACGCCTTCTCGGAGTGGGGCAACCATCGTCCACTTATTAGTCACAGGATCATACTGTTCTACTTGCTTTAATGACACAGACGGGGAAGCAGGCAGGCAACCAGTTGCTGCTGTATGTCCACCTACTACATACAGACAGTGTTTGAGTTCAGCAGAGCCATGACCAAACCTGGCCACCAGCATGGGGGCAGCTTTCGACCATTCCTCGTGAAGAGTGTCATAGACCCAAACATCTTTGGAGACCCCATTCTCTGACCCCCGTCCACCAGTGATGTACACTTTGCACCCAATTGCACAGGCACTGAACTCTTTCCTTGGGCTGGGAATGTCTGCCTTGGGAATGATTTCCTTTGCTTTTTGGTCCACAAGATACAGCTTGTCACACATGAAGGTCTGTCCTCCCAGGAGGAAAAGAGCATGGCCAGTTTTTCGAGGCCGAGCACAAAGGCTGGTGACCACACCATCATTCTGCAAGATTTTCAATTTGCATCTTATTGCCTCTTCCACAATCTCTTTGCTTTTCCTCTGCTTGGTGATGAGTTCTTCCATGGCTACGTTCTCCATGAGATATATGGCTGGCAAGAGGGCCAGTCTCACGGTCTGCAACAGCTCAGGAAGGTAGCAGTGGCGCTTGCTCAGGTCGTAGCTAATCCAGTTAATAGCAGACTCGTACACCAGCCTTTCATCTTCAGTCTCCAGTTCTTCACTGGACAGGAGTTGAACCACCATGTCCTGGGGCAGCTGAAGGAAATCTTCATTCTTACTGATGGTTTGGAAGTTGCTGAGGCACATCCTCCAAGAGAGTTCGTAAAGTTTGGTGCACTGGTGGGCATCGGACAGCAGCAGCATGCCAAGACAGTTGGTGGGATGGAGGTTCTTTTCAAGGAACTCTGCACAAGCGTCTCGAATGTCCTGGAATTCCAGCATGTCTCCAGCTTCCAGGAGGGACTCTGCATTTTCTTCATTGATAATAACTCGGGATGAATATGCATAGTCAAGCAGCAGTTCTAAGACTTCTGGATGGATAGAATTGTCAAAGTTGACTTCACTGGACTGACTCTCTTTAAGACCACCACTAAACATGGCTTCAAAATAGCGGCTACATGCAGCCAAGACAGCTCTATGGCAAGGGAAAGTCCTGTTTCCTGCATGTAGAAGGACATCTGTAAAAAGTCGCTGCTGGCGCAAAAGATTCAGATGTGTGAGGACACTATCAGCATAAGAGGATTTGTGGAACAAATATATATTGATTGAGCCAGTGCTGGCCCGAGATTTGCGATTTTCATGCATGCTGACTGACATTTTTCTCTTCCCTCCTAAAAAACAAAGAAACATTAAATAAAGTTTAGGTGGTACTCAAATGGGGCAACGGTTTCCAGACAATGAAAATAGAAACCTTATTCTGTTTACTCTGCTGACTAATGTTCTGAGTAGTATATAGCCAGTTCGGTATCAAGACAGAGACAATTAGCTGTGAATAAAGGCATTTATTTCAATAGTTTTTCTCTGGTGAGTTGCTTGAGCTATAGGCTGTTAAAATCATTGCTCAAGAGCAGGTTCATCTTGGAAAACCTGATCTCCAACTTTCATGATATTAAAGTACTTTGCCAATGTAAGTCAGCAAAAAGAAAATGGGAGGGAGACACCTCATTCTCACACCTCCCTCTCCTAGGCCAGCTGATTCACTGTACATAGACTTAAATAAGCCAGTCCTTTTGCTTTTAATAATACTAAGACAAAGTATTAGCCTAATACCTTATGCAACATAAAACTCCATATGAAACAAACACCTACTAATTAAGTCCATCAAGGATTCCTCTAGTAAGACTAGATTTTCCTGCAGCAAGTGCAAAAGATAAGATTAGCTAAAGGTGAAGGACCTTTTAACCCAGCAGAACCCCAACATATAATGATTAAGCATGGTTCAATAAAATCGTTACAAAAAGGCAGATTAGAACTTGGCCCAAAGCAGGGTAGATTATAAGGACATTCAGGATTTAGTTCAACCCTCTCATTTTACAGATGAGGAAAATGAGGTCTAAAAAACTTAAGTGATTTGTCCAAGGTTACTCAGGTATCCAAGGCTATGCAGTTAAGCAGCAAAACCAGGAATCTAACTCAAGTCTGTTGACTTTCTTTACACAATTTATCAACTGCACTGCCTGCTGCTCTGTGAACTTTTCAAATTCTAGCTATAGAATAATGTTTTTCATTCAAAAATAACCATTATACACTTATATATTGCTTTACAGTTTCAAATATCATTTGCTTTTTCTTTCTGGTCCCCCAGTTTCACATCTGTAAAAGGCCCAGGAGGCAGGGGTTAAGGAACAAAAGGAACTCCATGATTTATCTCTAAGGGTTTTCCCCTCCAGCTTCTAACCATTTGTGATTCTGTAATCTTCCTGCTCTATATCAACTCCCAGAAAACCAGTTGAAGAAGTAAGTGCCAACTATCACCACCACCACCACCACCACCACCACCATCACCACCATCACTAGGGAGATGTGCAGATCTATGCACCTGCACAAATAGGATGCATCTATAGAGAGCAGAAAATTGAAACATGACTTTATTACACACAGAAATGAGGCCATCTGTAGAATTTAGGTACTGAATTGAATTTCCTACGCTAGTGTATGTTTTAAACAGATTTAGAATCTAATGCTGTCTATTTTCCCACTTCTGAACAGAAATCTACAGCTTACCGGATATCAAGTATTGTACTATTTTTGTAGAACTCCTACCTTCAGAAAGGAAATTGTAACCATCTCTGATCAATAGCTCTCTGACATCTCCCAAGCCAATAAAAAACTTAAGAATGTGTTTGAAGAAGTACTAGGGTTTGTGGGTGCTTGAAGCCAGGAGATAAACAACATGGAAACAGTATCTTTATCACAACCTCAGGACATCAGGTTCTGAGCTCAGGGAGTACACAAACTTTTCCCCCTGCTCTTGAAATGGCTTTGCAGCTAATATTTTCCCTAAGTACATATTTCATTTCTGTTCAGGTGTTCAAAAGTATATTTCATGCACACTTAAGGACCAGAGCACCAAATTTGCACTGCCCCAAGAACTAGCAGCATATCATAAGCAAAAGCAAGACAGGTGCATGGCATGCCTTTGACATAATAAGCAACATAACATAAGGTTATGCAACCTGTTTTTCTTTATTTTGGAATGTAACCTCTTCTTGTGAATAAACATCCCTTAATAGAAATCAAGAAGAGGCCCACATTTTTGGTCTACCAGGTGATAAAATTACGGCTGTGGAAAACACTGGGATGGGCTGATGAGCATCCACATTTGGGATGTGATGAAATATGGAAAATAGCTGAAGCTACCTAACTCCATGCATCTCTTTTGCTATTCTCTTACAGGTCATTTTATCAGTGTCCAGCACTAAAGGAAGCAAATCTGCCTGTTTTCATGGTTTTGCTCTACTGGTGATTTAAACATTAGAGTTATTTTCATGGGAGGGCTAAATTTTAAGCACTTTGGGAAAGGATTTGAGGTCGAGGGTAAAAGGTTTTAATCAATAAATGAAAACAAATTAAAAACTAAGACTTGCTGTAACCCTGAAATGATAAAACCCTGCTTTAAGAAAGCTTATTTTCTAAACTAGCTTAATACACACACCCACAAAGCAGCCTTAATGTGCATGTCTCTAGTGAACAAGAACCTGCTATAGACAGATGCACAAACTGAGAGCTCATTTACCAAAACAATAGCATGTTCAAGCTGAACAAAATGCAGACCAGTCTACAATCCCACAAGAATCCAGAATTTTTTTCCCCCTAGAACAGTAAGGTTTAGCCAAGAGGAGCTAGATCTTCCTATTACATTAATATAGGAAACTCCCAGAGATGTGGTACCTTCTCTGAAATGTCTAATCTTAGGCAGTTCCCCAGAGAATAGGGAATTTAAGGAACTTGCCCCAGGGTCACCTGGCCAAGATGTATCAAAGGCAGGATTTGAACCCAGGTCTTCCTGGTTCCAAGGATACCACACTACCTCTCTATAGCTAAGTAAATCCTACTTGGGGATCTTAGAATTTTCATTCACATACCTCTTCAAGAGACTTCAAAATATGAGATCACTTAATAAAACATCCCAATTTTCCCACATTCTTTGTCAATTCTGTGATATTTTCCAGATTTACACGTAAAAAGGGAGCTATGCTAGCTCAGTTTCCTTGGCTACTTTATCAAGCTGTCCAAACATACTACAGTTAACACATACACATACAAAAATCCAATTGTTCTCTAAGTAACCTGAGTTTAAATTCTACCAGTGTCATTTAGCCCAAAGTGTGATTTCCATTTTCTTGCTTTAAATTACACGAACATCAGCAGAAGAGATCTATAGTCAATAAGCTTATCTTTAACAATAAAATTAGCAAAATTCCTTCAGGACATTTTTTTAATCCCTAGAAAAATAACATTTACATGCAAAATACGCAGTCAGGAGAATGCACACAAACTAAATCTTGCATTTCCAAAGAAAGTTGAGGAACCCTTCTATTACCGCCTATTAACTTTTCAAAAGGTGGCTGTCACAGTAACTTCAACTCAATAGACTTAACTCACCCATGTAATACTCAGCATTGTAAAAAGGAATCTGGTCTTACTTTTTTGGATTTTAAATCTAGTACAAAATCGAGATCTCAATTCGGTCAAATCAAAATTAAATATTTTTCTCAGATATTTGCCCATTAATTATGCTCAAAGAACATGACAGACATTGAGATGAGTAACAGCTTTTAATTGCAATACCCTAATATCTGTAACAATACCATGAGAACACAATTTTTTTCCCAAATACTCTTTGCCAAGCACAGAAACACACCTGCATTAGTATTTGACTAATGAGGTTGTGACCTGTACCTTGCATGAAATCACAGACCCACTCAAGTATTGAACTATTTTAGTGGCGGCAAGAAAAGTAAATACCAAATTGTTTGCTGACAATTTCACTGTTTCATCCCCTTCTGCCCGCCTACCTTCTTTGAAATTAATAATCTAACAGAGAAAGCCAAATGTCTGCACTGGGGAGGAAAACAGTTTTTCATAAACCCCGTGTGAGTCTTATCCACTCAAGAAGGGCATTTCACAAGGAATGAAGAATATCTATCTCGGCATCCTTCTCATCCTCCTGGTGGAGTCAGAATGCAATCCCAGAAACAAACAATTTGCTATGTCTCCCTCTCTCAGGAGGAAGGATGCTCGCTGCAGCAGGAAGCTCGTGAGAGAGCTGGCTGACATCAACTCCACAGTTAAGAGAGTCTTTGGGGGCAGGGATCAAGTTAGCAAGACCACCGAAATGGCGCTGCTCTCTCCCTTCTGCACCTCGCCCCCCCCCCCTTTCCTGCACAGTCCTAGCCGGCATTTCTAAGTTCAGAGGAGCTGCGGCTCCTCCTCTGGGGATGCTACCTTTCGGAAACCGGAGCCCGAGCTCCTGCTTTTTGTGGTCAGGTGAAGGGAAAGCATGCATTAGGCTGGCTTTCTAAGGGGGGCGGCGGCTCTGCCCCTGACTCGGAGCTCCCAGATCTTTCACATAGCTCCAGACACACGTGTGTGAGTACATACACACACACACGCCATTCCACCCTTCTGTCCAGCCTAGGCACCCCCTGCAAAACCCACCAAGCCCCGCAACAGGTCGGGGGGCATGGGAAGGAACTTACAGCCGAGGCTGCTTCTGGACTGCCGGGCAGGGCTGGCCTCCACCCGCACTCGCACACACAGTCACGCCGGGCGGGCTGCCGGCTCAACTCAGGCCAGGAGCTCGGCGCAGGCAGCCGGGGAGGCTCCAGGAGCCTGGAACGAACCCGAACCAGAGGCGGAGGGGCCGCGCAGCCGGGGCAGGCAGAGGCGGCGGGCGGGCCAGCTGCGGCTCGCTCGCTGCCTGCGTCTCTGCGCTCGTTCCCTGCGCTCCGCTCTCCGAGCCCGCGGCTGGTCCCCAGGCGGCTCTGCCCGAGCCGGCCCGGAGAAACTGAGCCTGCAGAGGCTCGCTCGGTCCGCGTCTCCCGGAGGAAGGGACGATCTCTGTGGCTGGCGCTACGGACGCTGCTGCCGCCGGAGGAGGCGGTCTGTGGGCTCAGGCTAGGGGGAGGGAGCAAGAGAGAAAAGGGGCAGAGTAGCGCCGCGCGGCTGCCGGCTGCTGGCTGCAGACTGCTGGCTACTGGCTGCTGCCGCCTCTCTTCCTCCTTTCCTGCGGCCGCCGCCTCCTCCGCCTCCTCCTATTCCGGCTGCTCTAGCAGTCTGGGCCCGTCCAGCGCGTGCTGGAAGGTATATGAGGCGCTGCGGAGGCCGGGGGGGGGGGGGGCCGGGGGCCCTTATGCAAAGAGAGAGTGACACTCCCGAGAGGGAGGCAGCTGGGGAGGGGGCGGAGGAGCTGAGGAAGCGAATTAGCACGGGCAGCCCGATGGGGGGCGGGGGGATGGAGGATGGAGGGAGGGAGGAAGGAGGAGGAGGAGGAGGAGGAGGAGGAGGAGGACGAGAGGATACAAGGAAGAACGTTGTCTTAGGAGTTATATAGAATTGGCGAGAAGGGGGAAGAGAAAGGATGGAATCTAGGAGTGGGGTGGCTAAGAAGAAGAGAACAAAAGCGGGCACCGCGTACCTCCGAGCGCCTTCCTCCCCCACCCCCGGCTGACTAGAGAGCCCTACGAGAAAGAGATGCACCAAGGCCACTAATAAATTAAATTAACCCGATTAGGAAAGTATTATCGCTGCTCTCCCCCAGCCAGGGTACTAGATGGCACCGAAGCATGTGCCAAGTGTGAACGGACTGGCATGGGATGCGCTGAAGCAGTTGTTCTAACAGATCCTCCCAGTGCCAGGCTAGGAGGGAAACCCGCACTGTCCTCCCTCTTTCCGGACCAAAAAAAAAAAATGTGTGGGCATGGGGGTCTCCCCGTTGGGAAGGAAGGAATGAAAGAAAGGAAGGTGAAGGGCAAGCGGGAGTCAGTCAGAAGTGTGTACACTTCTTTGTGTAAATAGTTTGTGGATCGTTCAGAGGGGGCTTCGAAAGGGTGCTGGGAAAGGGCACGGAAAACACTAGGATTAGGGCATCCTGGCGCTGACAGCCCTGTGTTGGAAGGAAGGGAGGAGAGGAGAGGCTCAGCTACCGCGGGTAAGCCGCATTTTATGCTGGCTAGGAATGGGTTCACGGGTCGGCAATGCAGCGGGGACGTGAAGCCAGAGGCAGAGTCTAGTGTATGTACAAATCCCCTAGCATTTCTCCTCCCAGCTCCCGAGTAAACACACCAGCAGCAAGCCCCACTGTCCGAGCCGGCCCAGCCGATCCTAGCGCTCTCCCCAAAGTGCCTGCGAGGAGCCACAGGCTCGAGTTTGGGGTCTGCGCTGCGGCTCAAACCACGTGCTTCTCAGCCAATCGCCAGGGCTGCGAGATTCAAAGCATCCCCTTCCGAGGAGCCACTGGCTCCTCGGAAAGAACTCCTTTATATCTGCCCAGATAAAACCTGCTGGGCTGTAATTGCCCCTTCTGATTACTTGTGCCCTTCTGGGCTTTATCGCTTGGTGCTGTTAATTTGGGATGCAATAAAAATGATGCAGCAGAGCCAACAGTTTTTGTTTCTCTGGCATGCCAACAGAAAGGAAACATTTAAAAAGTAAAGCTGTTTAAACACATTAAATATTCAGTAACGCATTTCCTCAGTGCTTACTAGTCTCAGCTTTGATATTAAAACTAAAGCTTTGCGTTTCCACTGGGGAGATGAGGAGTAGATTTAAAACTCAATAACCAAGGATCTTAAAGTCCTAGGACGGCCAACCACTTACTTTACTTAATTATTCATTTTCCAGAAGAAGAAACTGAGTCCCAGAGACACCAAGTGGCAGAACTGTGACCAAAAAACAGTCGGAGATGGGAGTAGGGTCCTCCTAAGTCCCAGTCTTTCCAATAGAACAGCTTCACCAAACTACTAGGCTGGAAAATAATTCGAGGCTACAGAGCAGCTTCACCCAGTATTTCCTGCTGTCCAGAGATTGATAATTGCCTTGCTTTCAGATCTCGATACACCATTTATTTCACTTCATGATTCTAATCCCAGTTTGCTTTGCTCTCATGCATCCCTGCTATTGGATTTAGGAATTCCATTCTTTGCATGCAAAGAAGGACAGTGCCCTCTGAAGTCCTTAGTTAGCATTAAATCTGTGGAGCCTCCTGCTTGCTCCTTACAAAGCTATTTCATAATTTAATTTTTGTGAGTCCTGCGACCCAGACTACTTCAAAAAGACAAGTACATGTGTGATTAATTCACAGTAGGAACACACCAGCAGAAAATTCAGGGGCAACAGGAGGACTTAGGTTGCCATGCCCTATTCTCACACACACACACACACACAAATATGGATATAGATAATTGTAAAGTAAAACAATGGACAACAGGGTGTAAATGAATGCTGAGAAGGCAAAAGATAGAAATCTCTGGATATAACACAAGTGCTTATTTAGAAAGCATGTTTTTAAAGTCTTATAAAGTTTTTGAGGAAATAACCAAGATTCATGAATTTGGAAATGCTTATTCTATGTTTTCTTCCCTCAAAAAACTAGTTCTTCAGTTTGAAAGGCAAATGCTGTCTTCCACTTGAAGAAATTTTTGGTAGTAAGGCTATTTTCTGTAGTGGAGAGAGTGATAAACCTGGAGCCTAGAAGAACTGAATCCTCATCCTGCTTCTTGCTAGCTGTGTGAACTTGAGCAAGTCACCTTGCTTAAGCCTCAGTTTCCTGTTGTGTAAACCAGGGATTGTAATACCTGCATCAAGGGCTTGTTATGTGGCTCAAATAAATTGATATTTATTGATATTATTGATAAAATAAATATATAAAACAGTTTATGTCAATTCCTATTATTACTGCATATCAGCTCAGCCACTTTCTAGCAAGTCAGTTAACCTGTCTACACCTCAATTTCCTCATCTGTAAAATGGATATAATTATATTCCCTTATTTCACAAGGTTTGTGAGGACCAAACCCAAGAGTATATATGAACATCTTTCGCAAACTGTACAATACTATGTCTATGTAACTTGCTATGAAATGGTAGACATCTTAGTTCCTAAACAAGAGAGGCCTTTCTTTTCTCTATTCTTTCCACTTAAGTCAACAACAAAATTGGGGGTGAGGGAGGAAGGAGGAGGAGGAGGAGAAGAAGGAAGAGTAAAAGGAGGAGAAGGAAGGAGGAAGAGAAAGAGGAGGAGCATAAGGGAAAGAAGGAAGGGAGGGAAGAAAGGAAGGAAAGAAGGAAGGGAGGGAGGGAGTAAAGGAAGGGAGGGAGGGAGTGAAAGAAGGAAGGAAGGAAGGAAGGGAGGAAGAACATATATTAAGTATTTATTATGTACCAAGCATTGCCCTAAGCACGAAGGAGACAAATAGAAACAGGAGACATCTCTGTTCTCAAGAACTTCAAATTCTAATAGAGATTACATATAGGAAGACTCAAGACAGATGGAAAGGCTTTCCATCAATTAAAAACAAACAAACAGGAAGCATATTTGTAGCTATTTGTTTAAACTTTCAAATTTACATTATGAGATGGGAGAGAAAGGATCCAGGTAATCGATTTCTTTATACTTAGACACTGGCTGACAAAATGGTTGGCCAAGGAGGGAGCATTACATTCTAACCTACTTGATATCTGGGACCAGGAAGTAGAGGTCCATTCTCCCTACCCTGCCTCCCACTACCTTGTCTACTCTTTCGCTTTCCTCTCTTTCGTGTCCTTAATGCTACTTCCATTTTAAAGAAAATTAACTCTGCCTGGATAATATTGAAATGTATTCAGTCTCCATCCCTGTTATACTACATCTGTCCCAGGGAGATAAGCACCTTTTAACCTGAGGTGGGGGAAATAGAAGGGAGAGGGAAGTTATATAAACTATAAAAATTGAAAAACTTACACTAGTAAATGTCCTTGGAAGGCCTTATAATTGTAAAATGTGTGCGCTACCAGCAGCCTCCTACCAATTGCTTGTTCATCTGCTTCAGCAGATGTAAAAGATTTTCAGGTCTTTTAGGTAGTTTTCTAACATTTACTACATGCCTGAAAAGTTTTGCAGGTTAATATGGGTATAATTATGGTTTCTCAAATTGCATTCTTCCCACAGCTAGCATCCTCATTCCTCAAATTTAAAGGCAATCCATTTTTGTAAAGTGCAAATGAGGTGGTTGCTTATCACCTCATTCACTGGAAGAGGGGGTAAGCAAATCTTTGTGTTTCTACAAAAAAAAAAAAAGTATGTATCTGGCAGGCCTTTGACCATATTGTATAACTGAAGGCAAGCTAGATAACTGCTATCTGAACGTGAGTATCAAACATCTCCAGGGATGCAGCTTTTGTCTGGATTGTACCATCATCTTTGACTGTATCTTCAATGTCCATGGCTCAGTTCAAGGGTTTGGGTGCGCAGACAATGTATGTTAGGCCTGGGAAAGCTCGATTTACACTCTGACTCGGGACACCCACCTAAGGCTTCATTTTTAATGTTATTAAGCAGCTGTGCCCTTGGCTTTTGCCTTGTTAGGCTCTCCTAACAACATTATTTTGTTAGACTGCAAAATAAACAGCATGGGGTTATGTATTAGCTGCCGTCAAACCTAATTTATCTTCATTCTTTCCTAATTTATACTCTGGCTGAATTAATTAGAATGATCTAATTAACACTGTGCCATGGTGGTACCAGGGAAAGAACAGCTCAAGGGGATTCAACCCAACAGTCTATCTTTGGGACACACCTGCCTTTTTCCTTCCTCATT